ACCCAACTTCACATTTAAGCCGTATAATTTTTATATGCTTTGAGAGCTCATATAGCAAGGCTTGTGTGTAAAAAATTCCAATTAATTCTACGCAGTAGTTTTTGGTTGGTGTCCTATTAAATATGGAGAGCGATAAGCAGCATTTTCGACATATCTTACTGTTTTACTACAGAAAGGGTAAAAATGCTGTTCAAGCCAGAAAGAAATTGACTGATGTGTATGGAGAAGGTGTGTTGACAGTACGCCAGTGCCAGAACTGGTTCGCTAAATTTCGATCCGGCAATTTTGATGTCGAAGATGCACCACGTTCGGGAAGGCCGGTTGAAGCTGATAAAGACGCGATAAAGGCATTAGTTGATGTGAACCGGCGAATAACAACACGTGAGATCGGATTGAGGTTAAATTTATCAAATTCAACAGTTTATGACCACTTGAAAGGCCTGGGATTATCCTCGAAGCTCGATGTATGGGTTCCCCATGTTCTCACAGAGAGAAATCTGTGTCGCCGCATTGACGTCTGCGATTCGCTTCTCAAACGTCACGAAAATGATCCGTTTTTGAAGCGCATCATCACTGGGGACGAAAAATGGGTTGTATACAACAACGTCAAACGCAAGAGGTCATGGAGCAAAAAAGATGAACCGGCTCAAACCATTTCCAAAGCCGATATTCACCAAAAAAAGGTGATGCTGTCTGTTTGGTGGGATTTTAAAGGAATCGTTTTTTTTGAGCTTTTACCGGATAACACAACGATTAATTCGGAAGTCTACTGTCATCAGCTGGACAAACTGAATGATGCACTTCAACAGAAAAGGTCAGAACTAATCAACAGGAAAGGTGTAGTGTTTCACCAAGACAACGCGAGACCTCACACAAGTTTGGTCACTCGCCAAAAGCTTTTACAGCTTGAATGGGATACAATGCTACACCCACCATATTCTCCAGACCTGGCACCATCGGATTATTATTTGTTCCGGTCACTCCAAAATTTTTTAGACGGTAAAACCTTCACCTCAAATGAGGAGGTCAAAAACCTCCTCGATCAGTTTTTTGCCAGCAAAGACCAAAAATTTTATGAGCGTGGAATTATGCTACTACCAGAAAGATGGCAAAAGGTGTTGGACCAGAACGGTCAATATATAATTTAATAAAGTATTTGTTTATTATACGAAAACTGTCTTTCATTTCCACAAAAAAAAAACCAAATGACTTTCCGAACAACCCTATACATTCGTGTTTGAAGCATATGTATAATCATCATCATCTTAAGGTCATCAGTCCTAAGACTAGTTGGAAACGTACCTCCACCCTTTCCTAGCCTGTTAGTTAAAGGAGAAGTTAAAGTTATTTGTGACCTTAAAATTTCATTTAACGATGGCGAGTCCCCTTGAATTAGTTTAACAACGTTTAGTGATCCGTTTTTAGATTTCTAGATATGAAAAACTAATATCTATTCTGTTATCAGTAAACAGTGTGATAAAAGTTGTATCAAGCCTGAAAATTCTTTTATGTGTAGGTGGAATAGATCAGGAACATCTCAATCTCAGTTTGTATCGAGAAGCATTCTGATTGCTCTTGGTCTTGATCTTAATCTTTCTAAATGGTAAGACCAAGTTAATACAAGACAAAACTGGAAGACCAAGACTATATCTTCTCATCACTAATGGTGAATGGCCATGTTATCGAACTAACTCAGTAACGTCACTGTTATACATACATGTCTACTACTGACCCTAAAAAAATTTGATCAAAATTAGAAGAAATTGTTCTTTAAAATTTTTGAGCGCATCCAACAAATCTTCGGACTTAAGCCCTTATGATGGTGACGAAATCACATCCAACCTGATCTGATGTCATTATTATTATGAACTTGTTCGTTTATTGTGAAAACCTGATTCCATTACTCCGAACTCCGAGGCCGCATCAGTTTTTGTTGTTACGTGTTAAATCGTTCGAATAAGTTGATAACTTTTTCAAAAGAAAAGTTGAAATGTAACTGCGACACAACAGCTACCAAAACTTTCGCACGTCAACTTCCGCATATACAACTTTTCAAAAGTATTATGGTTAGTTGTAATTTATGTATTTATTCACCTTGTTTTAGAAACACCGTCTGTTATATATTTGCCCACGATTTAGAATAGATATGAGAGACCGGATGGAAATATTTACATACATGGATATACAGAGTGTAACTGAAACAAGTGCGGAACTTGCAGGATATAATAGGACACTTTCGAAAAGAACGTATTTTAAGGTACTTGCAAGGGGCAGTACAGCCCCGGTAAATCACGTGGAAAAATACGACAACGCAACGCCGCATTCAATCAACTGGTAGTAGTTAGCTATATCAGTCATTAGTCGTAGGTCAGAACAGTTATATGAGAGACCGGATAGAATTATTTACATACATGGATATACAGAGTATAACTGAAACAAGTGCGGAACTTGCAGGAAGTAATAGAACACTTTCGAGAAGAACGTATTTTAAGGTACTAACAAGGGGCAGTACAGCCCCGGTAAATCACGTGGAAAAATACGACAACGCAACGCCGCATTCAATCAACTGGTAGTAGTTAGCTATATCAGTCATTAGTCGTAGGTCAGAACAGTTATATGAGAGACCGGATAGAATTATGTACATACATGGATATACAGAGTGTAGCAGAAATAAGTGCGGAACTTAAGGAAGTAATAGAACACTTTCGAGAAGAACGTATTTTAAGGTCCTACAAGGGGCAATACAGCCCCGGTAAATCACGTGGAGAAATACGACAACGCAACGCCGCATTAAATCAACTGGTAGTAGTTAGCTATATCAGTCATTGGTCGTAGGTCAGAACAGTTATAGTTATTACTGTCAGCTATGTTATCGCTTCTCTTAAGGCCAGTGGCTGATTTGTACGCAAATCCACGCGTCAATCGCATAAAATATGCAATAATGTCAGTTGAAAGACGACTTTCGTATTTAATTAAAAACAAAATGCTACACAGTCCGGAAATCAGACAAGTTTGTGATACGACATTTTCTTTTATTTCTCATCTACATTGATACATTTCTCATCCGCTGATCCTAATACTTTTTAATTTGGCTTTATTTTATTGAGACAGTTGTAACTTTTTATTTCTTGTGGCATCAAATCACGTAGCGCCCCTTCGTTTTCTTCCCTGAGACCGCGAAACTTTCTCGGCACGACAAACATTGTTGCCTCAGCGTTGCCAACGTAATAACTGTTGCTAATAAATTGTTCCCTTGTTCGCCAGACTGCAGCGCGCAAAACTTTTCTCATAAAATTACTGCTCGCGGACGGACTAAGTCGTAATTTCGACAAAAGACAACAACACGCAAAATAACTCTACAATTGAGTAGATCCTTGTTAAGAAAACATTACTATCGCGTAAAATGGACCCGTTCGGTTGGTTGCCCTGAACGCCGTCCGTGTCGATGTCGGTTGGCTGCCCTTGTACGCTGTCGGTTCTCCACTTCTCCGTCGCAACCGTAGCAGTTAGAGCAACGAGCGTCAGCGGCACCCAACGACTGCTATCTCAACTAATTATGCGAGATTGCTCGCTAGTAGCGCTACTTGGTTGGCTCGTAGGGTCGCAGAAGATGGGACAAAATTACACCCTCGAGAATTGCCGCCCGTTCCAAACTAACGAATGATCAACGACAAGATGTTGCAGTAAAAGCAATTTACAACTTAATTGGTTCTTCAATTGTGACTCGGGAGGATTACGTGTGGAACTGCAAAAATAAACTAATCCACCTAACAACCTAAACCCGACTCTGTCTCCGTCTCTGCCCATGTCTCGAGTACCACCTGTACATTTAGTTAGTTAGTTACTATTGTACTTCACGGAAATCTCTTGCCAACTGACTGTCTGAAAAGCCACCCACTCTTTTAATAGATAAAGGAAAAATGAAATTTTCTTCTTCATAAATCCCTATAAGGAAAATTGAGAATTATTACCCGAGTCTCCGTTTCATTCTGAACCGGATTAAAGCTTAACACTATTTCTCCATTATTTTTTAGATACCTTTACTTATTGTTAGAGCTATTTTTAGTATGAGAAACGGTTTTTTAATTCGTTGTAAATACATTAGAGGGTGAACATTATAAAAGGAGTTAGAGAAACATGGAAGAAACTGTAAATTACGGTAATACAGATGTAATTTCAGCAATTTTAAAACACATTATTGTACTCAATATCACTTGGAGATAACATTAGTAATGTTGAAACACAAAAAATACTTTAGATTTTGCAAATATAGTTCTAAGAACTTTGAGGTACTTATGGCCACTAACGTAGGACCACTTTGATATAACTTTAATCACTTCAAAACACAATACAACACTTAAGATCACCTCAGTGTAACTTTACTAAGTTGAAACTATCATGGGGCACTTTGTTATAACTTTAGCAAGTTAAAAACATAAAAAGAACACTTAAGAACATCTGCATGGATCCTTTATATGTTTAAAACACATTATGGTTTTTAGGATCACTTCATAATAACTTTAGTAACATCAAAACACAATAAAACACTTAAGAGTTTACTGAGTTTAAAATATAATGGGCCACTTAAGCTTACTGACTTAGTAACACTTTGTTACAACTTTAGCATGTTCAGAACTCAGCAAGGCACTTAAGAACATCTTCATGTACTTTTACTGACGCTTAATGTTACTGAATGAATAACAGTTTAATGCAACTTTAGTAAATTCGAAATACAATAAGACACTTTAGAATATCAACGTGTATCGTTTGTAAGATTAAAATACGTTGTGACTCTCAAGATTACTTCGATTTAACGTCTTGATGTAATATAAATGTAAATTTAGTAACTTTAAAACACAATGGACCATTTAAGCTTATTGGCTTAGGAACACTTTGGTACAACTTTAGCATGTTCAGTACTCAGCAAGGCACTTAAGAACTTTCAGATGCAAGTTTAGCAAGTTCAAAGCACTTAATATGAATAAATTTAAAACACATTATGACAGTTAGATATAACTTTATTAAATTCAAATCACAATAAGGCATTTAAGAACACTTTAATATAACTTAAGTAAATGTAAAACACAATAAAACATCCATGAGCCCCTTGATCTTATAATAGTACCTCAGGCGATCGCGGATTGTTCTTTAAAATTCTTTTTTTTTTTCTTCATAATATTATAACACTTTTCCGACTTAGTTCTTAATATCTTATTTAACTTACCTACATCAATAACAGTATTAAGTACGTATATGCTAAGTAACGAATATCCTTTGGAATTAAATTAAATTAAAATAAAAACTTAATTAAAAAGTTGTCAATAAATAAAATAAACTGTGATTTATATTAAAAAACTAAAACAAACATAATAATTGTTTCAAAAGTACTAAATATTTCAAAAAGAAATAAATTTTCTAGTACTATAGATCCTTATATTCTGACTCATTCTTTTTTTTTTTTCATTTATTAGGTTTTACTGGCCATGGAATTATTTGCTAAACATCTTATCACATTAAATTAATATTTATTGCCGCTAGAGGGTGTAGTAGAATTGCCACCACCACCCTCTGCCTGTTCGTAGCATGGTGGAGGTTCGTAACGAGGTGGGGGTTCTTGCCCTAAAACGATATAGAAATAATAAACAAGTGAAAATTGAGAAACAAAAAACTGATTTCCCAAACCTGACCAAACGTAATATAGCACAAAAATAATAACTGAAAAACCTAACCCAACCTTACCTATCATTAGAAATAGACAACTACAAAAAACAAACAAAACGAATAAACTGGTAGTCTTAATAGTTTTAGGAGTTTCGTCATTCCATACTGATATCATCATCAACCTATTGATGTTGATATCAGACAGAAATGGCGAAACATAATTAGTAATAATTTCAATTTTTTCATGTTAAAATTAGATCAAATTAATGTTACCTAAAGGACTCCTAGTAATATGTTGCTGCACATAGGCTGCTATCTCGCTTGCTCTCCTACTGGATAATGGATATCCTGACAGTCGTATCAATCGTCCTTAGAATCAAAAATAAAAACGGTTAAAACTGAAAGTACAATAAAAAGTGAAACCTTTGTATGAATAGGTATCCACTGGATCATTCGAAAGAATAAAATAATCCACCCAATCTAATTAAATATTCTTAAGTGTTTTCTAAAAACAATTATTTTGAGTCGCAGCCTTCTATAAAATTCTTCAGGACCCTTTAAAAGAAATTAGGATGTGGCTAAATATCCGACCAGCGCATTTACCTTTTCTGAGATAGAAGTTGCCATACGGACTCTGCCTTTAATCATTTACGCAAACGCAACGAATTTATTGTATTGTTTAGGTGAATTCCGACAAAATTCGAAAATTTGTGCCAGTGCGATCAAATAATACTCTATATTTTACAATTCCTCCACATAAATGTTGAATAGAGACTAGCGTCGTATTCGGTAGCATCCAGAACTTCTGACCATCACAATTTTAAAAAAAAAATAGAAATAGCCCAGTGGTATCGATGGTTAACTGTCACGCAGGCGGACCCGGCCTCTATACCCGGACGGTACTACAGCTTTTTCCTTAATTTATGTCTATTAGCCATTTACTTACGAAGTGAGTGTTGTTGTTGCCATTTCCTTTATTTTTGTCTTCGCTCATATTGTTGTAATCATATGAAGGAATTGAAAAATATAGTGCACTATTCCTCCGCACTTACACTACTTTCCGAATTGTAACACCACCACAGCGAAAAAATAAATAAAATAACTAATAGTAAAAAGTAGGTCACTGTAATGTATACACCCTGTATATTTCTTTTATAACACCATAACCTCACAAGCGTCTACATTTCAGGATTTGACACGTTCGAATCATAAAATATGCGAACGGTTTCTGCTCTAATTAAAACTAGCTCGAATCGTGTAAAGTTAGCTTTGTATTGTGCATGTTACGCTTATATGTGTATTTATGTTCCAGTTTTGACCAACAATCGGTTTTGTTGAACAACTTCCATTATTTGAACGGCACATGTGCGAAATAGGACGTTTTGACGGCATTCTTATTAAAGCGGGGCGCAATTTTAATTAAGAATCGCAAATCAAATACTTCTCCGCTATTCCTATTTTATTAATTTTAACGGCGACGAACTTTCGTCGGCTTGCCATAGAGCACTGCGGCTAAATGGACGATTTTACGTCTCACGGTCCATCCACAGGGTGATTAGAGCCTTTCACTTCTTTCGTTTGTTTTCTTTCTTAAGTGTAGACATAAACCACAACACATTATCAATAAATTGATAACTAACAAATCTGGAAATTATTCTGAGAATCAAATGTATTTAAATTTTGAGGTTTTTCTTAAATAATGATCAATGCCGTGTTTGGCTTTTATATAGTTAGATAAAGGGGGGGGGGGTACCACTATAAAGAGATGATAAACTGAAATCATTATTGTAATTATAATGCTTAAAACTACAGTTAATTCTCTTTGTAAAATTTTAGGCTCATGACGTATTGGTAAAGGCTGATGCCGTTCTGATTCAGGTCTAAAAGCCGTCGTGTGTTGGAGCTGTTTCCTAACATTTCGTTAGCACAAACAGCGATCTTCTTAACCTAACCTAACCTTTCGTTAGCACAAACGCCGATCCTCTTAACCTAACCTAACCTAACCTAACCTTTCGTTAGCACAAACAGCGATCTTCTTCAGATGTCCTTCCATGTCCAATGCTGAATGTGGACTATGCAGTGGAAAGATCTCTGAAGAAACTCGCCACTATTGCTAGCGAAACGTTAGGAGGGAGCTCCCACCAACGAAACGTAGCATTAATACATAACAGAAGCGTGATTCTGGCATAATTTATTTGTACTAGATTTAGTAAATTTACTCAGTATGAATGAAAACCATCCAAAAGGAAGACACTAAATACATTCCTACTGGAAAAACAAATAAACACACAGTGCATACATCAGAACAGCGTCTGTTGTAGGCTCCTGTTCAGAAATGCGTTTATTAGTGGATCTTTCTCTTTGATCCATGTACAGCCACTCTTACTATTGATCCCCATGTCCCCTATTGATAAGTGTCATAGATGATTTAATTAATACTAATGGGTTGGTCGTAATGTTCTTTTTACACTAGCTTAGTTTTTTGTCACCAACAACACATTAACCTGAATCCTACACCAACATTTCATAAAAAATTCAACATCTTTACTCTTATTAGCATGTTTAGATCTGTTGCGATATTTCCTTTATGTAATTGCACTTGTATAAATGTGTGTAAATACCTAGAAACTAATAGACCCACGGACTGTCGTTGACCACCATAAACAAACAGTGTATTGTACGACGTATCTCATTTGATTAAAAGTAATGGCCAATTTTCTCGAGATAAACAAGAATTAATTAAAAGAGTAATGTGTTTTGCGATGGTATCGCATCCAGTAGCCGTGTTACCCCACCACGCGTTCTCCGACAACAATAATTACGAAATAATGTCTCTGCATGGGGTTACACCGCGCACGAAGCGGTGATAAAGTGCAACCGGTCAGGCAATAACACTCTGTCGGTCTACTACGTTTACCGTAAAAAGGTATCGTATCGTGTCCCTATTGCATCGTGGTCGTTTGTGACATTCGGAAAAATCGCCACTTGTTGAAACACACCCCTAGTCGACAAAACTAAAACAAAGCCTTTCCTGCATTCGATTCTCATCAGCTTCTACTAGTGACTGGACTGCCCCATCGACCTACACTGATCCAATGTAGTAGATAACTAGGGTGGAAGGCCTTCTGTAGCCTCCTGTAGGAATTATATGGATGAAGGACAAAACTTAAACAAAGCCTTTCCTACATTCCATTCTCATCAGCTTCTACTAGTGACTGGACTGCCTCATCGACCTACACTGATCCAATGTAGTGGAGAACTAGGGTGGAAGGCCTTCTGTAGCCTCCTGTAGGAATTATATGGATGAAGGACAAAACTAAAACAAAGCCCCTTTCCTACATTCCATTCTCATCAGCTTCTACTAGTGACTGGGCTGCCCCATCGACCTACACTAATCCAATGTAGTGGAGAAGTCGGGTAGAAGGCCTTCTTTAGCCTCCTGTAAGAATTATATGGATGAAGGACAAAACTTAAACAAAGCCTTTCCTACATTCCATTCTCATCAGCTTCTACTAGTGACTGGACTGCCCCATCGACCTACACTGATCCAATGTAGTGGAGAACTAGGGTGGAAGGCCTTCTTTAGCCTCCTGTAAGAATTATATGGATGAATGGGTGATTTAAGCAGTGAAAGATTGAAAAGATAATATCTTGTTGAAATACAACCCTTATTGGATAAAAGCTAACACAAAACTCTTCATGCGTCCCATTCCTATCTGCTGATGCTGGTGGCATTCCATCGACCTATACTGGTATATAGTGACAGGGAAGTAGGGCGTAAGACCCTCAACAGTCTCTTCTAATAAACAACAAAGAGTGGATTATGAAGATAGTGGAAGAGTAGAGTGAAGAAGATAATATCTTGTTGAAATACAGCCCTCAAAGAATAATAAAACAAAAGCATTCGTACGCACTATTCCATAGACCTACCCTACTACAAGTTATTGAATATGTAGGGCAGAAGGGCTTTTTCAGCCTTCTGTAGGAATCGTAGGAGTGAAAAGGTAATTACTTTTGGAAATACAACTCTCATTGGATAAAATCTAAAACAACACTATTTATGCCTTCCATTCTCATCAGCTACTACTGATGGCTGGAGTGTACCATAATCCTAATCACTGATGCAAAGTAATGGGGAAGTATGACGAAAAGCTCTCATCAGTTTCCTCCAGGAGACAACAATGAATGGGTAGTGAAGACAGTGGAAGAGTGAAAAATACTTATTTGTTGATGTACAACCCTCATTGGATAAAAACTAAGAGAAAACCATTACTGCGTTCTTTTCCTATCAGCTGCTACTAGTGGCTGGGCTATACCTTAATCCTACACTGATGCAATGTAATGGGGAAGTATGAATGAAATCTCTCATCGATTTCCTCTAGGAGACAGCAATGAGTGGTTAGTGAAGATATTGGAGGAGTGAAAGACAATTGTTGAAATATAACCTTCTTTGGATAAAAACCATTCCTATCAGCTGTAACTTGTGACTGAAGTGTACCAAAGTCCTACACTGATGCAAAGTGATGGGAAAGTATGACGAAAAACTCTCAAAGCTCTCATCAGTTTCCTACAGGAGACAACAATGAATTGGTAGTGAAGAAGTGGAAGAGTGAAAAATAATTACTTGTTGAAATGCAACCTTCATAGAATAAAAACTAAGAGAAAACCATGCGTTCTATTTCTATCAACAGCTACTTACTGGTGTATCATAATCCTACACTGATGCAATGTGATGGAGAAGTAGAACAGAAATCCTTCATCAGTTTTCTCTAGGAGATAGCAATTAACGGGTAGTGAAGACAGTGGAAGAGTGAAAAACACTTACTTGCTGTGAAGTGAAACCTTCATGGGATATAAACTTTTAGTGTCTTTTGGTGGATATTATTTAAATACCAAAAAAAAACACTAATAACAATTTATAACAATAACAACGAAAACACAACTAACAAAAAGGCACAAGGAGTGAAACAAACAAACGAGAACAAAGTAACAAAAAGAACAAGATAATACAACAATAACAATAACAAAGACAACAAAAATACAACAAAGTAGATGAAAGCACTTACGAATGTTAGGACAAGCGGTAGACGAGAGACTGTCTTGAGATAAGAAATTTTGGACTATTTATAGGACAGGGTTGTTAGTAATTTTGATGGAATGTTCTAGAAGAAAAAGTAGTGAGAGAGAAGGTGAAGACACTAGTTTATAGGAATACATAGAATNGAGTATTTATAGGACAGGGTTGTTAGTAGATTTGATAGAAGGTTCTAGAAGGAAAAGTAGTGAGAGGGAGGGTGAAGACACTAGTTTGTAGGAATACGTAGAATTAAGCAGTATAGAGTTCAAGAGAAAGCAAATAAGGGTAAAACCAGATATTAGTATGGGAGCGCATGCAGGTATGGTGGAAGTTGGAATTCTGGGTAAAAGTGATTGAGAGAACAAGATTAGATTGAAAGGAAACCAAGGTATTTACAAGATAAGAAAATGAAATAATATTTGAAATGAAATGAATATGAAGTAAAATAATGAAAAACAATCCTTAAGAAATATTTACAAAAAATATATACACACAAAAAAAAAATAACAGTTATTTCGCCACAAACTTAATGAAAACCATTCCTACGTTCTATTCCTATCAGTTGCTACTGATGGCTGGAGTGTACCATAATCTTACACTGATGCAATGTGATGGGAAAGTAGGACGGCAAACCTTCATCAGTTTCCTCTAGGAGATAGTAACGAATAGATAGTGAAAACAGTGGAAGAGTGAAAAGCGCTTAGTTGTTGAAGTATAACCTTCATGGGTTAAAAGCTTAAGAGAAGTAGAACGGAATGCCTTCATCAGTTTCTTCTAGGAGACAGCAATGAGTGGGCAGTGAAGACATTGTCAGAGTGAAAGACAATTTTTCAAATATAACCTTACTTGAATAAAAACTAAGAAAAAAACATTCCTGTCAGCTACTACTGGTGACTAGAATGTACCATAATCCTACACTGATACAAAGTGAGGAGGTAGAGCAAAAGGCTTTTTTCATCCTCTTGTAGGAATCATAGGAATAAATCAATGGTTAAGACAGTAGAAGAGTGAAATGACAATTACTTCCGGAAATACAACCGTCATTGGATAAAAAATAAAACAAGAACCTTATTGCGTTTCATTCTTACTAGCTGCTACTACTGGCTGGACTGTACCATCGACATACACTGATGCAAAGTATGGAGGAAGTAGGGCGGAAGGTCTTCATTAATCTCTTGGAGGAAACATGATAATGAGTGGATTGTGAAGACAGTAGAAGAGTGGAAGACAATAACTTATTGAAATACATCCCCCATTGGATAAAAACTATGACAAAAGCTTTTGCGCTCCATTCGTACCAACTTGGACTGGTGAATGGATTGTCCCATCGATCTACGAGGGTGGATTGATAAGTTTCCGGCCTGACCAAGAAAAACAAGGTTTTTAAAAATTTTTTTTTTTTATTTCTCAACATAATCTCCTCCAAGGCTGATACATTTCTCATAGCGGTGTTCCAGTCTATTAATGCCATCTCTATAGACTGATTCGTCAAGCTCCTCAAAATAACCATTTACAGCTTCGATTACTTCTTCATTGTCCGCAAATCTCTTACCGCCAAGCCATTTTTTGAGATTAGGGAACAGAAAATAGTCACTCGGGGCTAGGTCTGGAGAGTAAGGAGGGTGCGGCATCAATTCAAACTTTAGATCGTTGATTTTAGCCGTCGCAACGATTGACGTGTGCGCTGGTGCGTTATCGTGATGAAACAAGATTTTTTTTTTCGCCAGATGAGGTCGTTTAATTTTCACCTCGTGGCTCAAACGTTGCAATAAGTCTGCGTAGTATTGACCAGTGATAGTATTACCCTTTGCAAGGTAATCAATGTATATAATACCTCTTGCATCCCAAAAAACAGTAGCCATAACCTTGTTCGCCGAAAAAATTGTTTTTGCCTTCTTTGGAGTTGGTTCCCCTGGTCCAATCCACTGTTTAGACTGTTCTTTGGTTTCAGGAGTGTAGTGGTGGACCCACGTTTCGTCAACGGTTACGAATCGACGCAAAAATTCGCTTGGATTACGCTTATACAATGACAAATTTGCGGTAGAAATGTTTTTTCGAATCAATTTTTGGTCGACTGTTAGCAAACGCGGCACCCATCTTGCACAGAGCTTTTCCATATGCAAATGTTGGTGCAAAATATGTTGCACACGTTCATATGACATCTTACAGGTCTCAGCTATCTCACGCACTTTCAATCTGCGGTCTCCCAGCACTATTTGATGAATTTTTTCGATCATATCTGGAGTTGTGACCTCAACGGGGCGTCCTGAGCGAGGCCCATCAGAGGTGCTCACACGACCCTTTTTAAACTCGGAAACCCACTGCTTAACGGTTGAATATGACGGGGAGGATGTCCCCAGTGTTGAGTCCATCTCTTTTTTAATTTCCTTCGGCGTTAACCCCTTCAAATAAAAGTATTTGATGACAGCACGATTTTCCTGCTTTTCCATTTTTACGAAAACCACAGAGGCGTCTTGTTCAGCGTGCTGTCAAACCTACACTAGCAAGGAGATCGGGCTGAAACTATAGCTACAAGCTATCCAAGGATGGTACTATAGAATGTCACCTCAAGGTAGGCCTAGTGGCGTCATCTCTTGGTTAGGCCGGAAACTTATCAATCCACCCTCGTATACTGTAATGCAAAGCATGGGATTCAATCTTGGTGTTAATAACAGCTAAGGAAAAGGAGTTTACACTTTTTCTAAAGACACTGTCCGGAAAGTCTTTCATTACATCACAGTTTCCTGTGAAGTGATCTTTTCGTATTACAAAAAAGATACATATGCCTAATGTGGTGGTTATAGAACAAGGAACGCCCTGTACGACCGAAATTTGAAACATTATTGTTCTAGGGCGGTTCTCTAGAGACCTCTAAATTATCCGTGTAGTGCGAACTGTCTACAAGCATCCTTTGGGGCCAGTTATCAAGACTATTCATAAAATTTACGACAGATTTATATTTATGCCTTTATAAGCTCCATATTGGATACGACAATAATAATTATTACTATTTCTTATGTAAAAGATCTCAACATTAAACTTGTGTTCAGATAACTATAACCTCTTGATGAAAAAATACCACAAACATCGTACTACTTAAAAGCCTACGCTATAATGTACGTATTTAATGTGCTCTTGGGTATCATAATCATAAAAATTTATCGAGTTTCGGTGTCGCATGTTTTTTTTATGATTTAAAAGTGTAAAGCAGGTAGTTTAGCAATTTTTCTTACCTCTCTCTACCAGTTCTCTTCTTAACTTATTGCTCTCCGTGGAAATGAAAAACATCACACAAAATACCACAACTGCAGTCAAAAACGTCATGATGTACATGAGCAAATACTCCGTTTCCATTTTATTTTTCTGTTGTGTCAAAATTTTGTTTCTACCTACAACACAATACAATACAATCACTGTAGTCTTGGTGTAATGATTTCTTTTTTATCGCGTTATCTCTGTATCCGCGTCTCTATCTGTGTTATTGTTGTTATCAATTTTTTCGGTCCGATAGTGAACACAATTGATCGATGTTTACAGACATCTTTATTGACGGCCGTGATAATAAAACGCATGAGCGATGATTGTACACATATTAGTACCTTACGAGATTTGGAAAAATTTCTATCGAATAACCTAATTCATACTACGTAGTTTGTACATGTAAGTGTCTATTTCTACAATTTTGGAGCAGAATATTGTACATAAGTGAGGAATTAAGAAGCAGCCTATTAAAGAGATATCATTTTTTGAAAAATTGTGTAAAGAAATTCGTACAATTCCTTCAATCATCATCATCATAAGGTCGACAGTCCTAAGATTGGTTGGACACGCGCCACCACTCTTTTCTATCCTGAGTTAATCTTCGCTGGCATCTTCGCCCATGATCTAGTCATTTGAGAAAAAAACTAAAAAACTTTTGGGTGTTTCATTTTCACCAGCCAGTAATGCTGGTGGGCGGGCAGTCCCTCCGGACTACGCCGGAAGGTAGGGCGGAAGGCCCTCCTCAGCCTGTTTTCAGGAATCGTGGGAATGGGTGGGTGGCGGTTCGGGTGAGAAAGTTGAGACGGACGAAATGAAGACAGAAGAGAATGAATGATTTTCTGTGGAATATTACTGTCCCAGCATTTGCCTAATTGATCCAGGGAAACCACAGAATAACTTGGACCAAGGCAGACGGACCCGGAATCGAACCGGCGTCCTCCCGACTGCTAAGCAATGGTCTAAACCTCTAGGCCATGCCGCTTGGTCTAAAACCAGAACAACCCGCATCCTTAACTATTTGCGAACAGTAATTTAATCTAGAGCTACCTCTACCCCGCCTAACTCCTGTTTCTGCCTCTAATATGTCCCTGACTAGACCTTCATGCCTGAGAAGGTGTCCTACCAACCTATCTCGCCTATTTCTTATTGGCTTCCATAGAGTCCTCTGTTCTCCTATTCTTTCTGATACCTCTTCATTTCCAACCTTCTATATCCACGGTATCCTCATCATTTGCATGTGACACCACATTTCGAACGCTTCTAACCTTTTCTTTTTCGCCGCGCCCACTGTCCATGTTTCGCACCCGTACAGCGCCGCGCTCCAAACATACGACTTTAACAACCTTTTTCGAATTTCTAAATTAACCGTTGACGAGCATAGAAGTAACTTCTTTTTATAGAAGGCGACTCGACCCTGCGCTATCCTCTGCTTTATATCCCTACTACTCCTTCCGTCCTAACTTATCTGACTTCCTAGATACATAAAATCAGCCACTTGTTCTAATGTTTCGGTTCCTATTTTTATATTCGCTCTTTCCCTACTTCAATCATGCCTTCATTTACATAATAAAGTGATATAAGTCCAGTTATGTTATGCTTTATTCAAAAGATTTTTAAAAAGACTTCGATGATAAGAGCAAATTCAAATATACTACAACAGACACATTCATAATTAAATGCTAATTAAGTGCGCTAATGGGGCGTTTTTTAAAAAATCATTAGTTTACTAGCTTATGCTTAAATGAGCAGGACACAAACGAAAAGCATCTTTTTGGTCACACAGTAATTAAATGCTCATTGAAAAAATCGCCGAAACATTTAATTTCTTATTAGAACACAGAAGAAGAAGAACAACATAATGAGTCTTTAATTAGTGTATGACAAATAAAATTCTTCGTTGTTTAAACCTGTTTTTGTCCCTCTCTTATGTTACAGTTTTATTCAAGTGACTAAGTCGTTTATTTACTGAAAAAATAATTAGAGGATTTAATTCGGAGCTAATCTCTTTCGAAAGCATTTAAATACTTACTGTGTGACCAAAAATCTATTTTCATTGTGTAAACAATTTTTTATCTGCTCACTTAAGGAAGCAAAAGAAGGATGAAATGTCCGGCGCACTTTTTCTATTTAATATTTCTAATTAGAGCACTTAATTAACATTATACGAGCAATTAATTACCTACGTTTCTGTTTTTGGTTCTCCTGATGGCATGGAAAAATACCCGAAACATTTATCCTAATGGCACTTAAGTGTCATTTTAGGATCATTTAATTGTCCATGTTTCCGGTTTTGATCCTATTGATCGCACAAGAATGATTTTTGCGTCCCAATCAATAAAAACTTACCTTATCCATAGTGTACATGATATGTCACTGCTAAATATGCATACGTTTTGATATTATTTGGAAATTGTAAATATTCGACGAAGAAATTATTGCAACGTTTTCTTACGATGTTTTTTTCAGTTTGTTTACGACTTAATCAGCGTAAGTGCCAGAAAAATTGTTGATACCTTACGCTGAACGAAGTTGAACGGTGTTAAAAAGAGATTTAGAGAAGTTTTCTAATTTTTCTGAAAGCCTCCGCACAAAACAAAACAGTTGGTAAACGTATCACAACGGAGGAGGTTGTTTGATAATAATATCACTTCTTAGTTGATATTTCAGAAGAATGCGGCCCTAGAAAAGGAATTATTATTAAAACTGCCTAGCATTTCCTACTTTCATATTTCAAACGGGTAAAAAACGACAACTATCTTTTCGGTTTATATTTGCAGATAAACAATTGCAAGAATTCTTAAGAAATCTAAAATAAAAAGATGGTAGAAATTTAAATTTTTCTATGGTTTTTTCAAAATAATGGTTAATACTATTAACAGTTTACAAGAAATAAAACAGCACAGAAGTTTCACTTAATAAGATTGGTTTAAATAAATAACAACTTAAAGAATTTTCAAAAATATATATTTAAAAACGACAGTTGTTTCGCTCAAAGTGACTTCATCAAGTTAATTGAGTTTTACACTTAATGTTTTACAGAACCACAAACACAACGACAACTTATATCTATGGGAAGAAATAAAATATGAACATTAATTCTAATTGGTCATTTAACAGTAGTTCCACATTATAGTTTCTAATTTTATTTGTTAATGATCCTAAAGTATCGAATAATGTACCTTATTCTAAATTATGTGACATTAGTTCATTTAAATGGTTCGAATAATTACAGTTTTGTTTTTGTTTTCTTAAACGTTTAAAATGCTCTTTTATTCTAGTGTTAAAGGTTCTGCCTGTTTGCCCAATGTAGCAACCAATAACATTGGACAAACAGGTAGAGCTTTTGATGGTAGACTAAAGGAGTATTTTAAAAGTTTTACAAATAAAAAGAAAAACTCTTAATAAGGAATTAAAAACAAAACACTTATAATTTCCACAAATTTGTTTACAGTTTTTTTGTTAAATTGTTTTACTATTACAAGTACTTAGAGTTTATGAGGGAGTGAGGTAATGGGATAAGAGCTAGGACCGGACTCAGGGTTTGGATAATCCTCGCAGAGTAAAACCTAAATGTATATCTTTAGCTTTCTTCTTACAAATTTTATTACTAATTATATCTACTACAATTTTCTTATTTACATTTTATTCAAACAATCTGCATACCTACATCTGTAGTTCTTAAACACATTAACAAATTTCATTATTATATACATTTGCATTTTTCGTAATTAACAACAAAAAATCAAAGTGTTTCAACTGAACAAACGTTTGGCAACGTCGCGTATTGTCGATAAACAAGATCTTGCTTGAATAGTGATAAAGTGCACCAAAATCTGTGATGGCGTATACCATAGACATAGAGAATGTGAAGTTATTTCCATACTATGGTATTGTTAGGTTAGGTTAGGCTAAGTTAAGATCAAAATATGAGAGAGAAAGAAAGCAAATGTATGACCAATTGTTGTCTTTTTCTATGATTATTACAGGCTTTCTCTGTGTCTATGGCGCATAAGGTACATTACGCTGCGACGTTGCCGGTTATTCTGTAACGTAAAGCATATAAAAACGTCGTAGATAAAAAAGACATTTTAATTAATATCATTTGCTCACATATTGTCTAATCGGGAGTAATTTGTATCAATAGTTATTCATACAATTTAACTAATGTAACTAATAACAAATAAATTATATTCTATTAGTTACTACGTACTTCACAATGACTTCACCATTGAAAGTTCTAAATTGATGTATTATTATGATTAAAATTAAAAATAATTAGGACAAACTTCAGACTCATCATGAGAGTGATAACTATTATATTGATGTTACTTATCACAAAGTTTTTTTTTATTAGAGTTGATTATAATGCATTTGGTCCTTGTTGGGACAGATGAATCTTAAACGGACCTGTCGTAAGGTGGCAAAGAATATATCGGCACGGGGAATCCCCTCTGTGACGCCACGGGGTGGATTCTCGAAAGCGAAAAACGGACGGCATCAGAATTGGTGATAAAGTAGTAACCTGTTGGTGACAAGTATAAAATTTTCCATAAAATAACGTATTGTGACAATTCGATTCATCCCTAAATAGAATAAATAGATGTGACATAGGTGGTCATTTTTAGAAACTCTTAGGTAATAAGAGCGTTTGCTGAGCTCTTGGTGAGAAACTTATCAGAACCACCAGATTTCGATTTTATTAGATCTCACCAGCGCGCCGTGCGTGATCTCGATAAATTACAGGCCAAACCGATGAAGCTTGTAAAAAGCGAGTTTGTACAGGGTGTAACAGAAATAAGTGCCCAGCTTGTAGGTGATAAAGCACTATCATCATCATCATAAGATCTTCAGTCCTAAGATTGGTTGGACACGCAACTCCAGTCTTTCCGATCCTGAGCTAATCTTCGCATTTCCCTAAAATTAGAACATCTCACATCCTTAACTATTTGCGAATAGTACTCTAATCTAGGTCTACCTCTACCCCTCCTAACTGCCGTTTCTGCCTCTAATATGTCTCTGACTAGACCTACACGCCTAAGAAGGTGTCCCACGAACCTAACTCGCCTATTTCTTATTGACTTCTACAGAGTTCTCTGTTCTTCCATTCTTTCTAATACCTCTTCATTTCTAACTTTCTCTATCCACGGTATCCTCATCATCACATTTCAAACGCTTCTAACCTTTTATTTTGCGCCGCGCCCACCGTCCAT